TTTTTGGTTTTTCTCCGGTACCGGGAACCGAACTCACGACCTTGCGCTTGCCAGGCAGGTGCTTTGCCGCTGAGCTAAATCCCCAGCCCCCAAATTTTCTTTTAATACATTCTTTAAATATTATGAAGAGGACTGGTAGAAGATGGAAAGAATTTAAAGGTATCATTGCAATGTGTGAAGTCCCACTCAAATGTAGCTGAATATGCTGCTGAAAGGACTAGAAGAACATTATCTCTATTTCTACCCATTTAATCAATAGAGAGCTGAAAGTCAATTCTGAAACACTAAATTTAAAGTCAAAGATTTTGTACCAAAAAACCTATTTTTCTTTGGCTTAAAATCATTGGTGAAGGTTGGGGATATAGCTCAGTGGCATAGCGCCTGCCTGGCAAGCACAAGGTCCTGAGTTTGATTCCTGGTACCAAACAAACAAACAAACAAACAAAAAAAAAAAAATTGGTGATAGATAAACACAGCAACAATGCATTGTCTGGGTACCCCTCACCTACCATTAGTACTTGAGAGATCCTCTTCATGGGGATGGAAACTATTTAGAAGAGAAATTAGCCAAGGCCAAATGCTGTAGATTAAAGAAATAGTTCAGATTTTACTTTTATACAAGAGAAATTAGAACAATGTAATTTCTAATTTCTTATACAAGAAATTAGAACAGTTTTTATACAAGAAATTGAGTCATGAAAATGATACCTATAGCACCTGGTCTTTATGTATTTTTCCTTCATGTTAGCATTTTAAAGGTTGGGTAGTTCTCTAAAATTTGTTTTCAAAGATATTTAGTTAAGATCTACTACAAGGGTCCAATGCTATTACACCTTTCTCAGGTTCCTAATCTAACAAACAGTAAAAATAACATGTTATACACTGAAAACTGAAATTTACTGAAAAAACTCTGACCAGAGATAACGACATACTATGTTTTCATAGTGGTTTCACAAACACTATCTACTATGGAACCCACTGCTAGATCTTTAACTTGTGACACGGTCTGTTTACAGCGTATTCATATCACATTCTCTGTTCAAAGTGTTGAATAATGTTTTTTCTTTATGGTGCAAAAACGTCTACATTGCTATACTACTCTAGTTTCTGAATTCTGGTCCAAAAAAGATCATTGCACAGGAAGGAAAATAAAACAAAAAGGCCACCACTACTCATAAATACAAAAACTTTATAAGCAAATGGTAAAACAAAGAATTTTTCTTTCATAGCATACACCTTATTGGACAAAATAGAAATCTGAGTTCTAAACTACGTAAGAGTAGAGAAACTACAGGCTGAGTGATTTTTAAAAAGTTTTTAAAAGAATAAAAATTTTAAAAACATTAAAAACAATACAGATTTTCAAAACATGATAGGAAATCAACAACGGTTGTTATATTGCATATTGTTATCTTCAAAGTAATTGTTCAGATGACCAGATATAAGCACGAAACATTGGTCCAAAAATTTTTTGAAAAATATTCTTAATTTTTTTTGGACCAATTTTTCAGGCTGAGTAAAGAAATGGAAGTTTTAAAAATAAAAACAAAAAACCCAATGTCTGGAACTCTGTATTACTAAAGTCTACATTCACACCCAAAAGCAGCATTCGGAATACTGCATTATATTCTGAAAGTCCACTCATGACAAAGTTAGAAGTGAAGATGCTTGCGGTCAGAAGAGAGAAAAAAGGAGAGGTAATTACAAAGTAGAAGAATCACAGGATCTTAAAATGTGATCAACTTTATTTTCTACATTGTGACCTTAGTAGATGTGTACAAAAAACTGCAACTGCTGGGCCACAAGCAGAAATTTCACATATCTTCCTTAAGTTTACCACCAAAGTTTACACTGTAAAGCCTACTCACTGTAAAGCTTTCTTGAAAGTATTTTTTCCTATAATCAAAGGTACTCTGACAGTTTTCATTTGCCATTGTAAAATCAATAGTTTTTAAGACCTTTCAGAATTACTTGAGTAGACAGAGAAAATGTTTAGTATAAAAACAACTTTCAATCTTCTATATTTAAAATAAATGTAATTCAGATTGGGTGTTACTGTAAGGCAATATCAGTTTATATATAAAAATAACAGAAGAAATAAAAAAATTTTCCCTTCAACTCCTAAGTAGAAAATTGGGGCACAATGTACTGCTGAGAAACACTGCATGTCAAGTTCATTCTGAAATCTGAAAAATGTCTCTTCCCCAGGATGGCAACTAGGGGCAGGGGAGTGCAGACAAAGTTGCACATCTTACAGAGAACTAAAATAAATAAACGACAAGCACACAATGAGGTTTTCAGTTCATTTTCCAGAGTAGGCAGAAAATACAAGTTCTTTCATTGTTCAAATGTTGTGCTTCAGAAGGCAGTTTTTACACATCTATGAGTATCAAACAAACAAAGCACACCAGCTACCATGAAATTTCCAAACACTTACTACTGTCTTTCATCCACCACCGCCTCCTGAAAGACTCTGGGTCTGAGTCTCAGCCAGTCCATGGAGACCTTGACAGCAGGAAGAGGATAGGCATTGTATGTCTCCTCCTGAGACTCGTTTTGAAGGGGACACTTGCACAGGGTGCCAAGAAAAGACACTTCAAGAAAAAAAAAAGTATTCAGGAAACGTAAGATATTTGAAACTATATGCCAGTCCAAATTAAAATATTATAGGCCTTCTGTTGTATACTCAAGTTTATTTCTAAAAATGCATTTTCTTTTCCATGCTAAAAATGTTACCAGGCCGAGTGTAGTGGCAAAAAGCTATAATCCCTGCACTCGGGAAGCAGGAGCACTGCTGCGAGTTCAAGGCCAGCCTGGGCTATAAGAGAGTTCAAAGCCAGCCTGAACTACATAGTAAGACCCTGTCTCAAAAAACCTAAATAACTTAATTAATTAATTAAAAAATGTTATCAGGTTGAATGAGGGGGGTCATGAGATGAAAGGATAGAAATTGGGGATTAGGCCTCCTGATTTAACATTAAGAAATACAGGACACTTTTATGTATCACTTTGTTCTGGCACAATTATGAAATGACTAAGATATTGCTTTTCCAAGAAGATGGCACCTGTTAAATAATTAATACTCACTAAAGAGGGCCAACAACTGTGTCCAACATAGCTGCTCATCTTGGCTATAACTATGCTGCTCCGTTTCATTGCTAAAGTCACGGAGGTGATGAAGTTGAAACAGGTTAATGACAGTGACATGAACTAACTGCTGAGAGTTGAAAGCTTTTTGGAATAGCAGCCTCTGTAAAGGAAAAGAAAAATGCTATATATATTATCAAGAGAAGGAACCATCTTAGACTCAGGAATTAAACTAGTAGCCTACATTTAGGACCACATTAAATTTTAGTATTTTAGTTGGATTTTGTATTTTCCAAGTTGACTCTTTCTGCTGAAAAGAATTCATATACTAATGAGTTGTCTGATCTACTCATCCACAATTTTTCCACTTAGAAATATGTATTTTTTTATGTGACCAGAAGAAAAAAATTGGGAAGGGGTGTTTCTATCTATAAATTTATACATTTTAATTCATTAGAAGTACTTCTAATAAGAGATACATACTTATTAGCACAGTAAATCAGAAGGAACAAACTCTAGAACACAGTGTAAGTGGCATGCTGAAGCAATCATTAGGATGTCTTACAGGCACTTGTACAAATTATTACACTAACATTTTTCTTTCAGAAAAGTATACATATGATTTTCATCAAATTTCGCTTACTTAATAATTGTGTTCAGAGGGCTTGCTGAGCAGCACTATAAAGAAGTTGTCACTCAGACGTTCTCAGCTGGTGGCCTCAATTATCCTTCCACTTTAATATCTGCAATAGTTTTAGATTACCCCCGTGTAAAGGACTTTTCCAATACAAGTCCCTGATAAAGCTGAACAGTTATTGGAAGTGATATTCTTGTCTTACCTTATACTTTAACCATACATGCCTCCCTCTCTCTCCAGGGAAACTTTTTGGAGATAGCAGGGACTGTCACTAGCCTAATGGTAAGAAATAATAAGCCCCTACTTAGTTTTATCAGCAGTGAGAGGAGAGCCTACCATGTCAGAAATTCACAGCTGCCTTCACTGTTCTGAGATTTGTTTTGTTTTTATTCACACGAGGAATTTGAAATATCCAGAGTAAGGTCTTCCATACTATTATTGGAGAAAAATACATTTCTATTTTACTGTACTCTATCAATTTTCAGCCTTCTGCAATCTGCCACTCTATTGTATATATCTACAATGCTTACACCTTTTCCAAAGGCACTATTTCTTTTCCTCAAAATTTCCTAAACTCTGGCCTCTTCCCCAGAATTTTCACACAAAATTTCCTCTTCAATTTATATTTAACCTTGTAAGTAAGCTAATCATTTATACAAACTGGACCATTAGATTGACATAATGAAGTATGTACATGGGTGATACTAATTATCTAGAAGTGTTTTAGATATAACAAGTACTTTCTGAAATTTACTTCTACTTTTGAAAATTTACTATGCTAAAATTTAGCTCCAACACTGTTATGTTATTTTAACAGGGACTGCTATGGTTTGAATCTTGAATCCAGAAGGCAGGTGAATCCAGAATCTCCCCAAGGCTTGGTCTCCAGTCTGTGGTACTACTGGAACCTTCAGATGGTGGGGCCTAAGGGAAGAAGTTACTGAGGGCACACCCTGGAAGGGGGCACTGGAACACTAGCTTCTTCCTCTCTCTCCCTCTATCTATCTCTCCTTCTCCCTCTCTCCCTCTCCCTCTCTCTGTCTCTCTTTCACTATTTGCTTCATGGTAGCAGTGAGGTGAGCGGTTAAATGCTCCCACCATTATATATTCCCTCACCAGAGGCCTAAAGCAATAGGCCAACTTACCATGGACTAAAACCCTCTCAAACCGTAAGCTAAAACAAACCTTTCCAGTGTTTAAGTAATGGAATGCTGACTAACACACTAGGCAAGGTTCCAAAGGGATCATATCATGTTTAACTTTAGAGTGTTATAATGATACTTCTAGGTATATTTTACCAATTGCCCTCTTATACCCATTAGAACTTCACATACAGCAATTTATAAGGCTGGGCATGGTGACCTACACCTATTCCTAGCACTTGGGAGGCTAAGGCAGGAGGATTGCTGTGCATTCGAGGCCAGCTGGGGCCACATAGTGAGTTTAAAACCAGCCTGAACTACACAGTGAGACCCTGTCTCAAAAAACTGAAAATCAACAACTACAAAATTTATAGCTGAGGAAAGTATGTTTGAGGTTCTAGGTAATGTAAAATTGACTAGCTTCTAGACTAGAATTACACAGTGAAGATCTCATTAACCACCCAGTTTAGGGAGTATACCTTTCAAAGAACTAGAGTTAGAAATAATCTTAGGAGGTCATCTAGTCCAGTATCTTGTTATTTAGTAGGACTGTATCTAAACCATCCAAGAAATATGGTTGTCAATCTAGTATCTAAGCTCTCTAAAAAAGGTGAATCCAGAATCTCCTGTAGCAACCACTTACAGAACTCTACATAAAATTTAAGATCTTAGTTCCAACTCTAAGAAAGACAAAGACATGTTCTCTTTAAACAATCCCCTATATATGTATATGTATGTATGAATAATTATTACCAATCTATTTAGACATGGTTTTTGTTTGCAGGCTAAATAGCCTATGGCATTAAAAAGTTAGTCATTCCTTTCACACACCCTTACCCTGTAAGTACTACATCATAGACTAAGGTTAAATAGGCAGCTAAAAACAGAAAACAAACAGGGACTGAATAAGCTCATTTTAAAAATAAACTATTTCTATCATAATTATCTAATATATCCTTTTACACATGTGAAGTATCAACTAAAAATGATTATTTCTAAAAACTATTTCATAAGGACTATATCTGACTAATTCATATATTAGCGGTCCAATTTCTAAAATCTCTTAGAATATGAGTCTTTAAAATACAGAAAAACTGTTATAAAACAACTGTAAGTTACAGACCATACCCTATGTACAGATGCAAGGAAATAACTAAGAAAGTAAGTTCTTTGAGACTGTTTTGTTCACTACTGACTCCAGTGCCTACAATAGTGAGAAGTCACATGTCTCTTGAATAAGTGAATTAAAGTTAATACTTAATTTTGACTCTCTCTATAGTATTTATTTTAAACTGCTTATTTCTTCATGTATTAATAAAAGATCATTTTCATATATAAATGGATCAAAGGTTACTTAATTTTATCTCCTTATATAAATTAGTAAAATATATTTCTATGGAAGGTCTCACTGCTTTCCTTCAAATGATCAGAGATCCCGATAAATTGAAACACAAACAGAATAAAGAGCATGATTTGCAGAATGGCAGTATCTATAAAGTAGGTCAAAGAGTACAAAACCATCAAAAGTAGCGCTTTCAAAACTAAGAAAGATGGAATGATGTTTTTCTACTTTGATACTTTCTACCAAACGGCAGTTACTCAGTGAAAACATTACCACTCTATTTGTATAATATACCTGAATTTAAATTGAGGGGATGCTGCATGCAAGAATTTCATACACTTAAAAATTAACTTTTGTCAGTAGTTCATAGTTAATGACATTAAAAAGGAGAAGTCAGTTTCCTCCAAATCTTGTATTTTCTGATTCAGACAATAAAAGAAGCTTCTATTTTTGAAATCTAACCTTAAACTGTTCTTCCAATTTCTCTCGAAGAGGGCTCAACTTCTCCAAGCTCTTACTCAGGTACACATGACCATGGAATTTAATAAAGGCCTTGATAAAGTCAGAAACACCCCATTTGGTTTTCACCTCATCCCGGCTGAAATGAAAGAAAAACATCAATGAATCTTAAGCAGCAAAATGGCTAAAATCATTTCAAAGAGACTTTGGCTTGCACAAGCAGGTTATCTGAGCACTTGGTACACAAGGCCAGGGTTCTGTATCTAAATTTTCAACTGTAATAACTTGGATGAGTCAGTATTCAGTTAGGACAAATCAGATACTGGGTAAAATTCAGTGACTACAAAACATAGTATGTCTATGTATAGGTTTAGAAACAGGAGGAAAGAAGCACAGGTCCTTGTCATTATTTCCTGTACACCAAACTTTGAAGAATTAAGGCTTCAGGTTGCACAGGGTCCTCTTGAAAAAAATCAACCCTACCTTTCCAGTGCTTTAGAAAGTGCTTTTTGTAGATTAGTGGAGGCAGCTGGGAATGGGAACTTCACAGCAATGCTTCTGCAGTAGTAGAAAATTGTGGTCAGATGATCTCCTTTGGAAGAAGCTAAGATAGCCAACTGATTGTAAGGCTGACCTAAAGGAGAAAGTTAAGATTCTAAAGTAACCCAGGAACAGCAGTGTTGCCATGAGAATACAAATGGTCAGTTTTTATAACCTTAAATTAATAATGAGGAATATTTTATAAAACAAATCTCGTAAGTAATTATAAATGAGCATGCTATAAAATAGCATATTTTAGAGACAGTACATACTATCACATACACATTTACAAAAATCATGACTAGAATGGAGGGCAGCTTCAAGTAAGACTTCAGAAAGGGCTAGCTAGTAAGTACTTTTGGCTTTGCATGCCACAGGTCTCTGTCACTCTACTTACCTCTATCATGGTACTGTGAAAACAGTCACGGACAATATGCAATGGATGGTGTGGCCAGACGGCCATCCCTACTTTAGACTCTGGAATTTAACGGAATTTCAATGTTGCTTAGCACTGATGATTTATAACCAGCAAATATTTGCTGAAATTTCTTTACGTATCACTGTTACTGTCTACTTTAGGGACATCAAAAAACAAAAGTACTAACTTTTAGGTAAGAAACCATTTTTCTAAGGGGAAATGATTGTATTAAAGAAATTATTCTATAAGTAATGAAGCCAGAGTTGTAGAAATACTTTTATGTCACAATAATTCTATTTATATTGCTTTAACAGACAATAAAAATATTATTTGAAAAAAGTTCATTTTAGTTTTATGAAATGTACAATTAAAAGGGGAAAATACAAAAATCAAAACCAAACTCACAGTTATTGCTTTTACAAAACTTGAAAGGTGAGCCTTGAGTTATCTACTACCATGCTAGAAAGAACACAGAGTCATGGTCAACCCTCAAGTTGACAGGCCCACTCACCATTGGAGGGGACAAGCTGAGCTGCATGCCTATAGTAGGACTCTGCCTGGCTGGTCTGGTTTCTGTATCGAGCTGAGAATAAGAAAAAGAAAATTTAGCTTAAAAAAAAAAATAAGTAAAAAAATCCACCAGGAGGGTACTTCCAAAACAGCTACAGTTTTAAATTCTAAAGATAATAAAGATATAACTTTAAATCTAAAAGTAATTTTAAGACCATTAAGGACAGGAAAGATTTTAAAACAAATTAACTATAGGATTATGTGTGAAGTGTCCATCCAGCCTTCCCTATTCGGGACAATCAGCATATAACCAATTTGAAAGCTTACCTAGCCCCCATTTTCAGGTCCTCCAGTGTCATGCATCACCAGCTTCCACTACGGACTATGCTGGTGACCTGGAGCCGGCCCACAAGAAGGGGTGAGTTATATGGCACTTAAAAACAAAACAAAACAAAAAGCACTATACAATATGATCTGAAAATTAGGTAATTCCTTCAATATCTTATAAGGTGATTTTAAAAAATGCTTAAATATTGTAATATTATGTGTGTGCAAAGAATACATTTAAAGCAAAAATAACCTAAACACATTACCACTGAATCTCCCTGCAAAACTCACTGCTTACTTTGATGTGATGCCTCTTGCAGTCACTAGCTTGTGACGTTAAAAAACCTACAATCTTCAAACTTTAAAAGGAATGATGTTCTCCATTCCTTGTTATTTGAGGACAAGCAAAACATAATCCTATAGTTAATTTGTTTTACAACCTTTTTAAGTCACCTTAAAGGGATGAAAAAGAATAAATAAGTTCCCACATAAAATACATGTTATTTGAATACAAACCACTTTAAAAAGAAAACAAAACTAAAAATGAGCGTTTAGTGTACTGGCAGGAAGAAAAAGCAATCTAGCTCTAGCAGAAATGATTTATACACCCTATTTATTCCAAAAGTGTAGATTTTTAATTTAGTAAATGTACTTTGATAAATTTAGTTCAAATTATACTTTTGCTGTTTATTTGCCTATATGTACATTAAGTCTGAATAAAATTTAAGTCTTATTATGAAAATTATTTCCTTTACAATCCTTTCCCAATCCCAAAACACTAAGGAATTCTAAGTTTCTAAAAATACATTCATGATTTCCTCTTAGGACAATCTAAATTGTGTGTACACATTCAGCTTAAAGGAAAAAAGCTGCTTCCTATGACTACCACAAAGAAAAGGATGAATGCATTATCAGTTTCTTCACACCAAAGGCTCACCAATGTCTCCAAGGTGAACGAGGCAGTGCTGGCAGATATAGGAACAGGAGCTAGACTGTGGCTTCACTATGGCGCTGGTATGCGTCTGTTTATTGCTGATAATTCCCAACTGGGAAGACTTCACACGGCATGGTAAATCTACATTAAACACTGTACACAGTTCTTGTAATAACTAAAGGAAAAACATACACAATATTTAGTAGAAAGCTGGAAGTGTTTTAATAGTAAAGTCTGTATGCTGTAAGATATATATCCAGTATTACTCCTTGGACCTGAGCAGGAACTACATGAAAAGTGTATGGTAACCTTTCATAAGATAATTGGTATCATTTGCTACATATCATATCTTTCAAATTTCCCACTATTAGAGCATTCGAGGATGTACATTTAAAAGAACAGAAGCATTTTTTAAACACGCTATTTACCTAAATAGGGATTTGAGACTCATATAGCAAGCAAAGAAAAGCAAGAAATTCCTGAAATTATCTATCTACTTCTCTCAAAAACACACAAAACCATTAAAGATTGGTTTATCACATTAAAAATGTGACTTACAAATTATGACATTACAAATATGACTTAAATATAAGACAAAGTATTTGTAAGACTTAGGAGTTTTTTGATACTTATTTTCTTTTTTGATTAAGGGGGGGGTCTCATGTTGCCCAGGCTGGTGTGACATTCATTTTTTTTAAGTTTTAAGCCAATTCACATCTTCACATACATATCGGATTTTAATTCATTAGATCATTCATGCTTCCCTCCTCTAGTCTCTCTTCTTAAATTATGAGGGGCTGTTCCTCTTGGTCAGAACTCCTCTACCTGTGTATACTTGTTACTCCATTCTTTTCTGACTTCTGCCTATCACCTCCTCACCATTTTTCATCTGTTTTTAACCTCTCACATATCTGTCCTGTGGCCTGGACATACTAAGGTTTCCTGCAGAAAACAAAAAATGTAAAACAGCAATGACGAAAACACTCTCCCTTGACTCTTAATTCCTTCCCAGCAAACGTCTAATGTTCCTTCCTTTTCTTAACCAAATTCTTTCAGAGGAATGCACATTATCTACATCTGCTTCTCAATTCCTATCCATTCCTTAATTCATTACCATCTAGCTGCCACATAAGTCCCTTCCTCACACCCCAACATCTACCAATGTTCTAATTAAACTACTGTTAGACAATTAACTACCTACCAGCTAAATACAGTATAGTGCTGCTGGGCCTCTCTGCTTCTTTAAAAACAGATCTTATGGCTAATCACTGAGCTCTTCTGGTTTTACACTTTTCCAGTTTCCTTCATTCAAAGGCTTTCCTCCCATCTTGCCAAATGTTTGTTTCTTGGTCCCCACAGAATTCTTCACGTTGTAGTCTTGCTTATTCAAATCTTTACAAATATGTTCACTCAAAGTTTTTCGAAATTATATTTATTCAAGTATCTTCCTATTACATCAGATTCATGCTAAGCAACAGAGATGCAAAGATGAGTAAGAAAACCTGTCTCCTGAAAGAGTTCACAGAAGATAGAGGAAGGAGACAAGGGCATAGTAAGTGATAGGAAAAGGACAGAAAGAGGAAAGGAAGAAGAGGGGAAGAGAGAAAGCATGACACAGAGCATACCCAACAGAACATTCTATATTTATAATAAACTTATTCCCTAGATAATTTGATGTATCTGCCCACCTCTATCCTTGTGGTAAGCTAGTACCAACACCATGCGTGTAAATATAACGTTCCACTTTCTCAACTGAGGAAGTAAAAGCTAAATGAAGTATCAAGTTATTGGACTAAGGCTACAGAATTAGAAACACTTTGATCCTATCACCATTTTTTCTAACATGTACAGAATTCACAATAAAAAAATACTGTATAACACCCTGAAGATCCAATTCAAAAGAAACCAAAAGGCAGCATCTTTCTCCTAATATAAAAACCACTTTGATAACTAAATATAAATCTTGTGTGCCCTTTCTTACTAAGCACAGGAATTATCTACTTCATTTTGCTTTTGCCTGTACTTCTATAAAGGGCAAAAAATTTGCTGACTAAAATTAGCTTAAGTTAAAACCCCAAGTTAATCAGAAAACAGAAAAAGCATGAACAACAGCAAAAGAACAAAAACTGAAAGTAAAAAAGAAATAAAGAAGTAGAACAACAATAACAAAACACAAAACCAGTGGAAGATGACAAGAAAACATGAAAATAAAGAACTGAGTTTAGCAGGTACTGAATGAATAAAGAGTGGAAACCTAGGTAAGGCTAAATAGCAAGAAGAAAAGAAGAATGATCACAAGAAGTAAATCAAATATGATCTGAATATCACACAGAATGGCTCTGTAATAAAATTTCTGCCTGAACCCAGGAGCCATAGGCATAAATACTAGAGAAAAAAGCTTCTCTCTGGAAAACAGAGCACTACTTTGTTTAAAGGGAATAACAAAGTGGAACCCAAGAAGAGGGTAGGAACCCAGGTAGGGTCACAAGTTAAAACTATGCTTGACAGGTATTCTATTAAAACTATATCCTACCTTTATATAGGTTTACTCTGATGTGTACTGACTTGGTAGTAGTTTCCTAAATGTAGGTGGATGGCTGAGATAATAAGTTTCTTCAATATAAGGTAGTACTAGGAGATGCTCTGAGGACTCGTGCTGGATATTAATGCCTTTTGTTCTCCTCAAACTTCCAATCATAGAATTACAAAACTGGAAAGGGGATCTACAATGATCGTTTGTCCATGCTACTCTTTTTACAGTGACTTGCCCAAACTATCAAATTAGTCAGCGCTATAGAGTCACAATAGTTTCAAGGTTCCCATTAAGTAATCTTCACAATATTCCATTTCTTCTCAGCTTTTATGCCAAAAATGAAGGACAGCATTTATTTTTATACAGAAACTTCATGAAATGCTTTCTTGCTCCCATTTTTTAAAATAAGGATAATTATTTTGTTCTTTGATACACAAAAGAAACCTATAACAGAATGTTGCTTCTGTGAGAATTTGTTTGTTTGTTTGTCTTTTCTTGAGACAGGGTCTAACTATACAGTTCAGGCTGGCCCAGAGCTCACTTTGTAGCCCAGGCTGGTCTTGAATTCACAATGATCCTCCTGCCTCAGCCTCCCAAGTGCTGGGATTACAGGCGTGCACCAACACGCCTGGCTGCGTCTGTGAGAATTTGGTTTTGCACAATGCACCGAGTTTTAACTAGTTAACAATATAATAACTAAGAAGTCAAAAGTTATCTTCACAGAAAATGTGACTGTGGATAATTACATACCAGTCTTTTTTCAGGCCACTCCAGACTTCCATTCTTACTAATCTGCTAAAGTTACATTTCATTAAATCCAAGATACCACAAATTATAAGATAAAACGTTATTTTATATAACACTGAGTAAAAATTACAATTAAATGGAAAATTGCCATTAGTCATGTTAGTGTTGGTTTCTGAAAAGTCTGTTGCAAACTTACCTCTATTTCAGAGATGTTAAATATGAAAAATTATTGGAAATAAAGAAATATGGTACTCATTACGTTCGTTAATGACTTCCAAGTTTTCAAATCTAATTAGTCACTTTTAAAATATTACCTGACTTCTCACCAGCACTCAACAGGATTGCACTCTCTCCTGTCATTAAAATGCTCTTCTCTTGGAATCCAAAGCACCTCTCCCTGAATTTCTTCTATTGCAATAGTGACTCCTCTATACCAAGCCTATCTGCATCTGGTAAGTCAGATGTCTTTGTACTATTTCTATCAGACATCTCTTAAATGTCAAAGAGACATTTCTCTAACATGAATAAAGTTCCTTTCCCCTAGTGATTCCCTTAGTAGTAAACGAAACAGCCGCCTAGTTCTTCTAATCATCAGTTTTGATTCACCTTCTTTTACTGATTTCACAAATCTAGGAAGTCCTTTTGGTCATACTTCAAAACTGTATTTCTTTCAACAACTACAGAAGTATCCCATCTTCCATTCCTTACCTCAAAAATCCTGAGTAATCTTTTAAACATGCAAAGCTGAGCATGTTAATCCCCTGCTTTACTTGCCAGCGGCATGAAATTACACTAAACATTAAAATTCAAAACTCATTTTGGCCTATGAAGTCATACAGTGATCTGAAATTGGTCTACTTCCCCAGTCTGGGACCTAATCTGCACTACATGTAACCAAGAAAGAAGTATGGAACATAACCGCAGTCATGTTCCCAGTTCTACCTTCTACTATGTGGAGAAGGGAAACAGATTTGAATCAGAAACATGAGTGAAGTTTTAGAATTTTAAAACTGGACTACGTTTCAGAAACTGAGAGCAACTGCAATGTTATATAATCTGTTCAAGTAATGGTAGGAATCTGGGAATTTAAAAGAACACAGATAAAAGCAGTGAATGGGCAGAGATACCACTGTGTTAATATTCCACTGAACTGAAACTACTCAATTAATACAGTCAAAATTATATAGACATGCTTTTATATTGTTTTCCCAATTATAGGAAATATTTCTCTCATCTAAAAAAATTCATGGTTTTTAAGTTTCATATTTCCCTTTTATAGTTATGCCATGAATTATTTAACCATTAGTCTACTGTAAGACAGTAGTATTGTTTTCAAATATTAAGATTTGATTATAATGTCCACTTGTTCCTTCAGATGTGATTGTTTATTCATTTCTTTTTAAAATGTTTTTGGTTTTTTGAGACAGGGTCCCACTATATAACCCAGATGAGCCTTGTATTCACTATGTAGACCAGGCTGGCTTTGAACTCCCAGCAGTCCTCTGCTTCGGTTTCCCAAGTGCTGAGATTACAGGTGTGTGCCACCATGCCTGGCTCAGATGTGATTTTTTTAAAAACATCTCAACTATGCACAAAGGAAAAAATAAAATCTGTGATAACTTCTGTGCTTCCTTAGGGAAAACAATAACATGCATCTACAATATTTAAACTTTTACTAATCTAATAACCTAATAATCAATTTAAGAACTGGTCCTCAGGAAATAATTCAATATTAGAGAAATGGTTTATATACAAAGATGTTCATCAAAACGTTTAACAAGCAAAAGCTTACACAGTAGTACAGCAGACATTAAGTGTGGTCTTAACCATAAAGAAGTAGAAAAACACTGTAAGGATGTATTACAGTTGTAATTTATCCTGAACAGCTTGGTGCAGTGCTATCATAGCAGCTACTTGGAACGCTGAGGCAAAAGGATTTAAAGTTTGAGTCCAGCTTAGGCAACTCAGAAAGATTTTCTCTCAAGAATGTAGTGTCGAGAATGTAGCGCAGGAATAAAGCGCTTGCCTAGCATGTGTGAGGCCCTGGGTAACAACAGCAGCAGCAACAACAAAAAGTAGTGATTTCTCCTGAGTGTGGGAATTAATGAAAAAAGTTTGGGACTTTGTGTAACTTTGAAGTTACCTGAAATTAGTATGTATTGTTTTTATAGTCAGGAGACAAAAGACAGCTATAATGTACCCATCTTTTCATGCAGACTTACTACTTCTTTGAAGGTAAATATTCTGTCTCATATTCCTCTGTATTCTCAGTACCTAATATTGTACCTTACCAACAGTAGGCTTTTGGCAGACACATGTAGAATGAGTAAGTTTTTGACATCTGCTTACTTACTGGCATCAATGCTTCTTTTTGAAAGTAAACGCTCTCCAAGTATCTAACTTATACTGCTAACACTTGGCATAAATTTGAAGATGAATTCTGAGAATAAGTGCTGTACTTGACTGCTTTTAATGATGAACTGTGATAAACAGTTATTGGTCTAAATAAAGTAAAAGTAATCTCTCTGAAAGACGACAGCTATCTTCCAATAGAGATTTTCTTTTTCTACATTCAAAGAAATGGAAAAACAAAAATAAAACCATAATACAGTAGGTGAGAAGCAGCATAGGAAGAACTGGCCCAAGTTCAAGCACAAGAGCCTGAAAACCTTATTATAAGATGCTAATTTTATATATAATTTACATTTAAATTACAAATAAATGAAATGGGAATTTTCCAAAAGATTATGCTTAAAGAAAATTCCGTGGTCACAGATTTATTCATTCTTTTACCATGCCTGATAGAGAAGTTATACGAGAATGTAACAGGAAAAGAGAAAATCTGTGGCAATGATGAATAATAGCTTATTACTCAAACTGAAGAAAAAATACTATTTCTTACGTAGTTTAAAAACCATTCAAGGTCACAATAAATTTGACAATATAAATAATATGCAGAAAGTTCACTTGATGTTACAAATTTTGACTCTTACTGGCAAAACAGTTGTTACTTTTGTTTGTTCGTTTGTTTGTTTGAGATAGGATCTTGTTATATAGTTTAGGCTAGCCTTGAACTCACTATGTGCCCAGGCTTGAACTCACAGTGATTCTTCTACCTCAGCCTTCCGGGCACTGGGATTGTAGGAGGATGCCACCATGCCTGGCGGTTACCTTCATAATGATTATACTCATACATATACACTCACATTTGCTCTAATGCCATTTGTAACTGACTTCTGCTGTTTCACTAATGTTTTGCTGCCATTAACCCTTTACTGTTCTTAGTTATACCTTCAACCTATAAACAAAACATCAATCTGAGAGTATTTTTTTAAAGGTCTTATGGAAAATAATTTTGGACATCTGTATTCACTTGAGATTGTACAATCAACCCCTGGTTGGCACAGTAGTGATTATACCAAAGTGTGTATGAAATAAAGATGTGTACAAAGGAACGTTTACCACTAATACTAGCAAAACTGTTATACAATGCGAACTAACCTGAGTATAGAAGCCACTAGCTGCCTCTAGGAACAGAGAAAGGTTTGCTTGGACTTCACTCCGATTCGGGTTTGCTCGATTCTTTGCTTGACCTTGTAGTGTTGTGATCTGATTCTTAAAGGCATGATTCCAGCTGAAAACAAAATGTAATTCTATTTGGTATAGCAGTGACTCACTGGGCAGACACTGGTCCCCCTGAGAACAAGAGAGAACTGTTTGTTATAATTATACCATGCTAGGCAGTAAACCTGCACTAAAGTTATTCATTTATTTAAAATGACTTTATGCTCCCCTTTGAATAAAACTAGACATGCAGTAGAATCCAACAGACCTTAGTAAAAACTTACCAAATGTTTGAATAATCAGATTTGGCTTCAGTTATTAATCTTTTAGAGTTACTAGAGTGAGAATCTATTTAGGAATCCCAGTTCAAAGAACTACAGTGGCAAGATCAAAGTAAAAATAAGCTATTAACAAATTTCCATACACTGTGTCAAAAATAATTGACTGTACTCTATCAAATGACATGCATGGGGGAGGGGCTTATACATGTCTGCCGATAGTTCTTATTATCCCAAAAGTTATTTCCCATAGAATGAATCTCTATTCCTACTTAATAGTTTTATTTCTCTTGGGATTAATGTTTCCTTTACATTGGGAAATATAGGCCACATTTCAATTTTGGCTACTTAAGATAAACAACATAATGCTGAAATACGGCATCAAAATCTTGCTATAAAATGCCCTTCAATAATAAGATTATGCACAGAATCTCTTTGAATTCAGTTTTCATGAAAAATAAGCATTCTCTAACTCGCAACTCACAGGAGAGAGAGAGAGGAGAAAGAAAACTCAGATAAAGGTTTTCCAATCTACCTGGTATGTTCCTAACTATTAACATCAGCTTGTGAAGCTCTAGAGCACCAGGTTTTTAATGATTTAGGAGTGCAACCACTCTCTAATATTGCTGATGACATCTTATCCTTGATTCTAATTTCTGAGATATGAGTACTGAATGATTGTTACTTAACTCTAAACAATAAGTCCCTGACTTACAAAAGTGTTCCCTTGTGGGAGAATGTTCCTAAGTCTGATTAGTTTGTAACCTGACAAGGTGAGTCTCATACAGTATATCTGTGAAAGTTTGCAACTCAGATATTCATAAGTCAGGGCCTCACTGTAACTAGATTTCCTAAAAATATAAAGCATATAAGGGTGTGGAAGATGGAAAAAAACTAATCTTCACTACAACATAGGGTAATGGGCAATACAAGACAGAATATACTTCATTGATTTTCATCAAGCTAATGTTCCTATTGCAATTTATAAGCCAAGACTTTTCATTAAAGGCATTTATTTACTCACTTGAGAATCTGGTTATCTGCCATTTTCACCCTTCCTAGAAAGACTGGAATAACCGAAATACACAAAATCTTTCTTTAGTTTTATTGGGAAGAAAAGAAAATATGAATTTATTTGATTAAAAAAGAACTTCCTTACAATGCAAATATTTTTCTGTTGGAGAAATTTATAGAATTACATTTACCAAAGAAAGATTTTTCTAAAGAATTTTTAAAAATCAGGCTCCATATAGAGAACCAAATATTCTTAGTACTTGAGATGAGATACTTGCTTTTCTGATGTGCATAAAAGAGCTGCCCTTAGGGGCTGGGGATTTAGCTCAGTGGCAAAAGCGCCTGCCTGGCAAGCGCAAGGTCGTGAGTTCGGTTCCCGGTACCGGAGAAAAACAAAACAAAACAAACAAACAAAAAAAGAGCTGCCCTTAATAAACAGTCGCCTCTTACCTTCAAAGATTGTATCTGAAATATCAATGACCAAATAGTTTGTTTAAAAAAAAGTCACAAATATTAGAATCTTTTTCTATTGAAAAAGCTTATTCAGGAGTAGGCTAAGAGACAACCAAGTAAGCAACCAATTTTAAGCTGTGGCGAGATGCTAGATCTTACAGGAACAACTCAAATGATAATACTTACAGATCTTGTTCTACTTTCTTGTCTAAAGCATATTCCAAATCAGTAACTAGCATTTTCTGGTACAGGTCCTGCAGAGCCTGCCTGGATGTCCAGACCTCAGCTGGACCCAGCTTAGAATCTGAGTAGCAGAACAAAAACAACACATGAATAAACAGCTTAACAAGTACAGCAAACCAATGATTCCTTTACTCTCCACTCCCCAAAGTAAATCTGCCCTCAAGTGTATTCCATAGACTGCTGTAGAAGCTTTGTGTCAAATGACTTTTTTGGCTAATGACTAAATCTGGGTTAAAATGCTTTTGTATCTCTTAAGTCTGTTAGCTTTGAAATAACACCATGAAATGAAAATGGCTTTAAAAAAAAAAATTATGTTTTACTTTTGATTTAGATTTCTGTCTCTTCCTATCATAGGCAGCCATATGCCTCACAGTAAGTCACTTCATTAAAATAATGGACTACCAAGTTGGGCAGGGTTTTTTTTTTTTTAACACCCACAACTATATTCCTTTGCCCAAATTGGCTTTTCCCTTTTTATTCAAATAAAAATTTATTTATTTTGATTATTTTCCACAAACGTCCGCATAAAATGTTCATGTCAATTCACTGTCTAGCAGCTGCTTGGGTATTGCCCTATTCTATATATATCAACCCAATAAAGCCACAACAATGAGAATTGTTTTCATGTAAAAGAGGGCTGGGAGAAGATTGGGATTAAATTGTTTACATAGCCAGACAAGAGACTAGGTGTAGGATTAAGTCAGCAAGTTAGGCTCTGACTACACACATTACAAAAGTGGGGTCATACTGTCTGCCTGAGTCCTTCAAGGTACATTAACCTTGATGAATACTGACTGGCTTCTTGAGTAGTTCAGTAACTGACAGTCTCTGTAGAAGAACTTAGTAACAGACTTTTCAATTACAGTATGTATTTCCAATAACCAGTTAAACTCATCAAATTTACTTAAGGAATCTGTTGCAGAATAATCATATAACTTCACTCCTCTTTAAGTTTGGCAACGGTATCTATTGCCTCCACAATTCTACTCTGCAAACAGAACCTCCTGGATTCAGTATTTGAGGTAATGCTCACAAGAGTTTGCTGGTTAGTAAGAACAAGTCTATTATCAGTTTCTTGGTCTATTAAAGTTTTTAATCAATAATAGATTTGGAGATTTGCTCAGACCTGTTTTATTGGTATAAAGTAAGTTGTGAAAAAGAAATAAGCCAGCCAATACCTGTCATGTCAGCCTTCAGGACTTCTGCCTGCCTAAATAAGGAAAAAAAAAAAAATCAGTTAGCAACTAACCAATATAGCATGAGATCTCAGAAATCATGTATGACAGTAAGACTATACAGCAGCTAAACTTGTGGCACTGCAAATTGTGTCACTCTCCCCCTTTAACGTTCAGGATAGCATTAAGTCTTAGAACAACGATGCCACTATTTAAGTTTATACGAGCGTCAGTGACGAAGTTTACTTTCTTGCTGTTTTCCTCCAAATCTGACTTCCATTCTCCTCAAGCTGCTGATCCCTGGTCCTCTTCCTCATTGCAAATGACAGCCACACATCTCAGGGCAAGTAATTCCTACTTACTAAGCACTTACTACACATACACACCCCTCTCCTTACTTTCTACTGTTAAAATCCTAGAGATACTGTATCTCTTATTTAAGACTGAAATTTCACTTAGGTATGCTCTATATAGCTTCTCTTAAGGATCTGTTCCTTTGATTAATCCCGCTCCTTTTTGACAAGTTTGAAATTTCCCTCTCTACTAGGCCCTTTCTGCTCTTTGGTATTTTACCAAGGACAGGCCTCTCACACATTTTAAAACCTTCTGCCCCACATTCCCCTCTGGTTGTTGCCTGTCTTTTCTCTCACATTCTTCAAAATTGCTTGTGTTTAATAAGAGTTCCAAAACTGAACTAATGGCCACCTGATTCTTCACCCTTCTATTTTTAGTTTTTTGTTTGTTTTACCTTAGCAAATGTAGCATGTTTTCTAGTTGTGGATGGCAGGAGCCTAGAAGTCATCTATGACAACTTTCTCTCAAACCCCAACTTCAGAGAATGTTATCTACTAAGTGGTCTTGAATCTTTCCTTCATATCTTCAGCCACACTCATTCAACTTATGCATATCCCTTGCCTGAACAAATCATAAAACTGCTTTCTCCACTTCACCCTGCCCCTGTTTCATGGTGTTCTTTCATTGCTCTAAGGGTCTTTAAAATACACACCTGATCTATCAATGACTTAGTACACGTACTTGAATGACTTCCCATTGCTCTTAGGGTACAGAACACAATCATCACTAAAGTTTCCTACAAAATTCTAGTCTCTGAACTCTCCTCTGCTCCCCTTTCCACTCCCCACTCTACTCTCCTTGATCTCTGTGTTGCATCACTGAGTCGTGGTGTGATGCTTCCTTTGTGCTCTGGGCCCCTGTAAAAGAGAAGGAGAGTTCCTTTGCTAGAAACACCTCTCCTCTCTTTTTTCTGGTTAATTACAGTTCACTCTTTGAGTCAGAACATTACTTCCATGGCAAAATCATCTAGATTAAAAACATTCCTATTTATATTCTCAAAGTAGTTTTTTTTTTTTTCTCCTTAGTATATATCACACCTTTTAAGATTGCTCAGTGTTTGGCAGTCAAACCAATTTACTTTGATTTGAGGAATTGGTGGAGTATACTAGCAGGTTTGTCTGGGTAGGTCATGGAAGTTTGACCTCAGGGTCTATGTCTGATCCCTTGCACTTTTCTCTCTGGCAGTGTTCTGCTCTGCTCCCTGGAGGCCATGACCTAAACAGCTCTGCTTTGCCATGCCCTTCTGCCATGATATTCTGCCTTGAGCCACCTGACCATGACTGAACCCCCAGAAACTGGCAGCAGGCCTGATCTTCTGCTCCTTTAAATTGAGAGCACTGGACATGTGTCTCAGTGACAAAAGAACTGATTAATACACTCCCCACCACAACCCCCTGTCTACTAGCATACAGTATGCATTCAATAAACATTCTAATGAAGAGGGTAAACCATGTTCATATGCTGGATTTAATTATCTCATTCATATGTGGAATCTAAAGAAGCTGATCTCATAGGACTAGAAAGTAGAAGAGTGATTATCAGAGGCTGGAGGGTAAGGGGCAAGGGAAGATAGGGACAGACTAGTCAGAGGGTACAAAGTTATAGTCAGAATAAATGCTGGTGTTCTATGGGCACAATAGGGTGATCATGGTGACAATACTGTAACAAATCTCTCAACACAGCTAGAATAGATTTTGAATGTACTCACCACAAAGAAATAACTGTATGAGACGTGAATATGCTAAATACTGAGATTTGATTATTATACACTGAATATATGTACTGAATCACCACACTGTAAACTATAAACAACTACAATTATTAGGGATCAATTAAAAACACAACTTAAAAAGTTACTATATAAACTTGAGATCTCTGTCTTAAAAATAATGTTTCGGGCAGGAAAGCTAGAGAATATTACGATTCTAAAATTTTTACTATGTTTTTACATAACTAGGTATTTAATAGCAACTATGAATATTAGTTCATTTTAAAATGTAACGTGAGCTGGGGGTGGTGGCACATGCCTGTAATCCCAACACTTCAAGGCCAGTTCAAGTGTTCAAGGACAGCCTGGGCTCCGTACTAGGTTCGAGACCAGCCTAAACTGCATAGTGAGACTCTGTCTCAAAACAAACAAAAAAGTGAGACCTTTTATTCTCTTAGCCTTTACAAAATTTTTTTTTAAATTAAGCTTTCAAACAACAGAATCACAATAGGGTCTTGGGGAGGTAACCACAACCACATGAGAACTACCAATACAAATGAACAATACTAAATAAATAGTTATGTTTAGTCCTAAAATATAACAGCACATCAAAATCCATTAACCATGCAGCTCTATCTTCACTGTCCGCTTTGTGTTAAAATTTGCCATTAAAAAATGTCCACAAAGCTACTGGCTTATGTGCTTTAAAAACTAAGATAATACAACTTAATAAAACATACAATATACCCTATTCCACCAGTCAGAACTCTTCTTCCCCTTCATGGAATACTATTCTTTAAGTATTAGCTTTCCTTTTGTATAGTATATAATACATAAGAAATCAAATCAATAAATGTGATTTCATATAAATGCTTTAATGAAGATTAGCACAAATTGGTTATTATAGAAAAAAGCTACACCTGAACTTTGCTGGTTTCACTGAAGACTTTCAACAGAGGTTAACATTATATTTTCTAGCCAATGTTTATATAAAAAGAAAAGTTTTAATGTTTTTCTTGCCAGAAGGTATGGCAACATGAACTCGTTTATTCTTATTTTAAATAGAAGGAAATAATTAAAACAACAAATGAACCAAGAATTCAAAATTAAATCATCATGCCTTTAATAAAAGGACTAATACAAAATATGAAGCTTTCCAATATATTAAATATAATTTGTTATTGATTACAGAAATTAAACATTTCTGCCAAGCAACTAAAATGATTAAAAAGCTGAACGAAATCTGGAACTTTTAGTGACAAGTGTGTTGAAAGCTAACAATCTGAAACAATACTGATGGTGATAACATAATCATCAAGATCTACAAGTACGTTTAATGCATTCTAAGCACTGGTACCATAATAACACTGTGTACTGCACTTATACTATTCAAAGGGTTCTACATAAAATAATCATTTAATTCTCACAAGGTACCATTACTGTTTCTAATTTGTACTTGAAGAAAATACAAGGAGACAGAGGCTAAATAACATGGCTAAGGTCACAGAGTTAAGTAGCAGAAGTAGTATTTGAACTCTGTTTGTCTCCAGAGTCCAGCTCCTTGCTGTTATATCAGAATTTCTCCCTTATACAGGATTACGTGATAGTAGCTCACAGCATTGGAGCATTCTGTACTTAATCATTTTGTGATCATTTTATCATTTCACCAGAGGGGGAAAAAAACTAAAATTCAGGATATCTTAATAAATATCTTAATCATACTTAGCATTATTGTAACAATGCAAAGTAGTAAAGGGTAATCTCCTAAGAATATATACTCTAAAATTTGGTCTAAAAATCTAAGATATTTCTAAACCATAGGCACATAAAATAAGAGATACCTTCCACATGAACACCAGATCCCTTTCTCTGTAAGAATTCAGAAATACAAAGCAACCTGTTCTAAACTCAGAGCTACCCAGACAAGGCAAATCAGTCTCCTTTGTTTTGGAAGAAGCATCTAGAGTACTCCTTTTTGAAAATGTAAGCGAAGTCCAAGGTAGGATTTATCACTTTGCTCATTATTTTCCCACAGAGTTAGGAACAATTTTGGATAATAATAATATTTATCAATTATAGTCATAAACCTAAGAACCTAATCATAATTGCACATGCTAAATAATAGTTCACACATGTGAACTATTTATACACTTAAAAATTGTTATATAATTTTACATATAAAATTTATAAAAGTTTATAAAATGTTATAAAGTGTGTAACACTTATACACTTATAAATACACTCACACATAGCTCTCTAAAACTTCACCAAGTCTCACAGTATTCATCAGAGAAAAAATAAATCATTGCCGTGCTGTTGGATTTCATTTAGAAGAGAATCTAGGAGAAATGCTACTCCTAATGGAGCTTTTCTCAGTTCACATTAATAAAAACATTAAGTTTCTTTCTGTCTATGGCACTTTATCTTGTATTTTCCAATCTGACATTTCAATGCTCTATACCAGAACATTCACTCTTTATCTATTTTCTTTGAAAATGTGTGCCTAGTTTCACAGTATTAAGGGCCCAGGCTTCTCCAAGAATTTCAAGGATGAAAAGGCAAAAGAAGTAATACAACAACAAAAGCACTAGGCCAGTGAGGCAGGCAGACTAGATAGAGCACACATGCTGGAGCTAAAGGACCACGGAAGAGAAGATGTTAGGAGAAACTGCATGGCACACCAAGTAGTTCACATTTTGACCTTTAAGCAAAACAAACCAGTGCTGAATTTTAAGTAAGGGTACAGCATTGTTGTATTTGCATTTTTAAAAAAATTACCATAAGGTATCTAAAACACTAATTTTAAAACCTCAAGAGTAGAAATGAGGTGATAATACAGATGAGTTGAAAAACTCAGATTCAAAAATACCTGCACGTTGTAACTAGGAGACCAGTTGTAGAGATAAAGCAGTCTAAAATCAGCCCCAGGCTGTTAGCTAAAAGAGCTGGGTATTTTAGAAGGTGGAGGGAGGTGTCTAAGTGGGCACTTAGAAATGAGAGAGTTGCCATGCGGAATAAGTAAGACACGTTATATAATAGAAAGCAAGTGACCCCCTCGAAGAAGGAAGGTAACCTGACTGCGACCTCCAACTTCCTTTTGCACATTTAGTTACTCAATGGCTAGTCAGGTATTCCTTCCCCACTGCTACTTCATGGGATCTTGACTGAAGGGCCACACTGGGTTTAAGATAACAAAATTTTGTGTTTTGGAGTTAAAAAAAAACCCTCAAAATTGAAGTTAAAACATCCTAGGTTCTCTACTACCACATAATATACTGGAAAGGGTAAGTTGTTTTGATATTATGAAGGCCATATTCTTAGTATGAATAGAAAATAAAATCAAAGGTAGATATGTAAATTATAAAAGAATTGGTCAGGATGTTACTTTTTTCTTTTTTATTCTCTCTAAACATTCACATTATTATTTAACAAGTATGCTTTAAAAACTGCACTTGACAACACATCAAGCAAGCTATAAATGATAGAAATGCCATACTAATTAATAATAGATTTTAACCCCATCTGCTAAAAATTAATGAACAGTCTAATAATATGCTCTGATCACTTATTATTTGCCAGGTCTTCTTTTCTTATGCTTTCATGTATTATAAAACCTTTAAATCTCATGGCAATTCTATCAGGTAAACAGATCCCCATTTTGCTGATGAAACAAAGGCACAGAATAGTTAAGTAATTTGGCCCAGGTCACATAACTAGGAAGCAGCAGAGCCTGGGTTCTACCCTGCAACCTAATTTGACAATCAGAGCTCATTAGCATTATACAATAAAGCAGATCTTCTGAAATAACCAGCTATGGGTTTCAATTTGTAGGGGCAAACATCACCTCTCAGTTAAAAGCCACCTCATTTGAGATTTAGGACACACTCCGGCACTGTAAGATACAATAGCAACAGTAACTAGCTCCATGTAGAACAGGGCTTCTCTAGCACTTTATCATAGGCTCATTTCTATAGGCAGTTAGTTGACAGGCTGAACTGTATCCATGTTAATATACAAAACCCAGAGTGGATGGTTTCTGCACTCAAAGAAATTACTACATACGTAACCCAAAACAGAAACTTTCATTCTACAAGATAATGTACAAAATGGGTATGTTTCATACTTATAAATATTCACTTGCCTCATGCATAAACTTAAAAAATTTTTAAAACTTACTTCAGTAAAATCTTTAAAATTTTTTTTGGACTACAAGATACAAACGTACAAATAAAAGTAAACATGTGAAGTTTTCAAAGCCACATAAGCAAAACTGTTTTTAGCATGTCCCCCCATCTTGGCCAAAATCAAATCTTTCAGAAAGTGTCTAATTCTTCTGTTAGGATCCGCAGAATAGGAATAGTTTAACATACATCTGTAACATTAATAAAAACATGTAGAAATCCCTTGTAATTTTTAATCCTACCTAATATTACTTGATTTCAGATGCTCTTCTGATTTCAAGTTTTCGGTCCTCATCTGGGACTTAAATGAAACGTTTTCTCCCACAATGACTATCTGCAAGAACATCCAATTTCTCATAAGGTAGAATGGTTTAAGACATTCTAGATAGAGGAGAGGAGGAAAATATAAGTTAACTCACAAAAGCAGAGAATTCCCTAGAACAATTATTTTATCATTTGAAATGATTTAATGTGAAAGGCAAAGAAAAAATACCAAAGACTTTTTCTTTTTATATGTAATTTCTTAGAACATACCTTTTAAAATTGTTTCATATGTATCTAACAGAATCTTGTTTTAGATCAAATTGTCAGTCTGTCTCACTGTCTGAAAGCTGAGAGATCTCTACAGGACAAACACAGGTTACCCAGCAGGGTTCTTGCAGGACTAGGATGAGAATGACCTACAGAACAAGGAGCAGACGGACTCCTTACCAAAGGAAAAGCATATAAAACAATTAAACCACAACTAGAGGGGGTGTGAATAATGCTTACATTTGAAGATCAGTTGAAAATGTCGGGTTTTAAATCTTCATTCACTGAACAATATTTGGTCATTTTTGTGTCCTAGATACTGTGTTAAGGACAGTATACAATGATAACACAGCTATCATGCCTACCACGGATTTAAAAATTTAATGTAGAAACAGACAACAAGGAAGGAAGAGGCAACAGAAGTTAAAAGCACAAGCCCAGGAGTCCCTTTGTCTGTCATCAATGGTCTACCAGAGAGTAAAATTAAGACATAAGAAAAACAGCACAATTTCCTAGGGACATCAAATTAACTCAAAGATTTGTACAAAGTGAGCAATTATGGCCACTGACCACTGGTTACATTTATAATTATTAAGTGCCAAATACTAGGCTACATGTACATATGTGTGATTTCTAAAACTGAAGCATACCATGATAGATTGTGAAGAGCCTTGTGTTCAGGCTCTAAGGCCCAAACCAAGCTCTGCCACTTGCAGGATACATAACCTAAGGTGCATTACTTCTTTATGTTCCCATTTGGTTAAAAGATGAAGATAAAATAATCTACTTCACTGAGGTATTTTCAGGATGAAAGAAAAAAACAAAAGGATTAGGACTGTAAATAAGGCCTCAAAAATGTTGGCCATTATTATCACTATTTATAGTTATTATTCATCCTCCCAACCATCCAAAAAGGTAAATGCTATTTTCTTTCTTCTATAAATTACAATATTAAAGCTACAAACTGATCAAAACACAAAGTTTTTAACCATTTTTAACAAAAGAAAAAATAAAGAAGAACTGTAAGAAAAACTTCAAACATACAGCAGTGGACTCTTGCTATACTTCAAAGCACATTTTCCAGCTCTTGTGATTTTAGTGACAATTTAGTGGAAATGAATAAGATAAAACTTCATGATAAACCCAAGTTCCTTATTAGCCTAGCATATAAAATCCATGGCTTTCCATTTTCATAAGTCAATGAACCTACATGTGAATGTTTAATTTTAATTTATTACAATAACAGACACATTGTCATTAATCTCCCCCAAAATACTTTTCCTCATTTGAACACATTTTTCCCAGTTTCTTGCTGCTTTCTGAAGTAGTTCTGGCAATCCTCTTTCATGAGCGTTTTTAGTTATGCTTCCATGGCTACCTCAATGTCCAGAAGCAATTAAAAACATTTACCTTTTATGGTCATTTTGACCTTGAGAAACAGCCAGAAGTCGCATGATACCAGACCCAGTGCATACGCGGATGAGGACACACTGTAATGTTTTTACAAGCCTGCCTTTCCACTGGATGACATTTGACAGCAGCATTCACCATATCTTTGATTACAGCTCATAAAGACAATCATGAAACAGGACTTCCAGAACTGCTTCAGAAGTGGCAAGACGATAGGATAAGCACAGCTGAAGCAAGGGGAGTATTCTGAGGGGAATTAATGGCAATGTATCTTTTACCATAATAAATTTTTTAAAAATTCAATATCCAGTGTATATTTCAATCATATCATATTATCTTAGTTTCTTACTATTTTTCAAGTATCTCTTTGTTCATGCCCTTCCTTCCTCTCTTTTTTTGCAGCACTGGAAATTTAGCCCAGGGACTTTACACTGAACTGCATCCCTAGCCCTTCATTATCTTGAGACAAGGTCTTGCTATGTTTCTATTTTGCCCAGGCCTGGCTGAACTTGCAATCCTGCCTCAGCCTCCCAGAGTGCTGGTATTTACGTGGTAAGGCTGGTTATTCATGCTCTCTGACTCAGACTCAAATGCCCTCCCATCTCCTTTCTTGATTGGTTAATCATTTCTAGTACTTGAAAACTCATCAACTTCTACAAAAGAGCATTGGATTTGCCAAGTACTGCTAATGCATCTTAATGCCTGTCTGCTTTAGCACTCAGAGCACTATAAGAAGTTATTTATTTACACATTTTTCTCCAATAAACAGTCTTCAACCTTGTACTTCCAGTGCTTAACACACTGCCTACCATACTGCAATTTGCTCAAATAAACCTACATTAATTTGTACCAGCACCTGTCTCTCAATGGTCAACCTCCTAACAGTTCAAAGTTTTTCAAATCTAGACAATAATTTCAAGTCTTGCAGGAAAAGAAGCTAAAAACTTTTCCATCTGAACAAAAAATAGTAACTTCCTTTTATGTTCAGAAAATCTACCACTTTATATAGTCATTTATACTTGTCTCTTTGAAATTCAGATTTGGTTTTCATGGTATGGGATCTATATAGAATATACATAGAACATGAGTAAGTTCAACAACCCAAAAATATTAAACAAGAAATTGAGGTTAAATCATCAACAATGAAAAGCTACTTTTAGTTCAATTTTTACATTACAGGAGGTATGTCAGAAAAAGTTGTTCAACCCCATCCAAACCAATGCCTTTTAGAAAGAATGTACAGTGCTGGGGATATAGCTCAGTGGCACAAATGCCTGCATGGCAAGTTCAAAGTCCTGAGTTCGATTCCCGATGGAATGGAAAGGAAAGGGAAAGGAAAGGGAAAGGAAAGGGAAAGGGAAAGGGAAAGGGAAAGGGAAAGGGAAAGGGAAAGGGAAAGG